AGTTTAGTACACAGAATAGGACACATGCTTATTAGATAACCGTATTTGAGTTGATGTATATGTTTTTATTTATTATTATTTTTTAATTAACTTTTTTTCTCAAACCATTGTTAGATGCAGTGTTTCTTGTAGTTATGCAAATATTTGGTTTCAAAAACAGTATCAGTATACTATTTCTTATGATTTTAAATCTGCATTGAACTTCAGATCAATCTCAAAGTAAAAGGCGGTACTAAAGTCTGATTTTGTGGTGGATGTGTTCAAATTTGATCATCTTAATTCAAGTGATGAAGGATTTTGAAAGTCTGACAGTGTTGAGCACTACTGTAAGGTTAACCCTGCACCCTGTGTAAATGTTTGAAAATGATTAACAGTTGCAAATAAACATTCATTAGAAATGTAGAAAAGTAATCAAAAAGTAATCAAAAGTAATCAGTTACATTACTTTAATAAAGTAATTGAAAAAGTTACACTACTATTACATTTTAAATAGGGTAACTTGTAATCTGTAACCTATTACATTTCCAAAGTAACCTTTCCAACACTGCACTTAAATATCATTAAGTACATTAATGATATCTGCCTTGTTCTGTTCTGTTAACCCTAGGGGGGTTATTATTGCTGCTCTCCCTGCTCATTCATGACAGGCTGCATGGATGGGCAGGGAGGTTTTTGCCCAGAACAGAACCATACCGCCAAACCAAACTTTATGCTAAGAATCTATCATTTTGACGATAGTGGTCCTGACAGAATTACATTTAAATGCACTTATTGTGTAATTCAATGAACTTCCGGTCTAAGCCCCACCCATTTCCGGTCTACCCAAAACCAGATATTATAAGACTATTTATAAGACATAACTTTGTCTTAAATAGTTATTTTACTGATGTTTCACTCGATCTTAATTGAACTTTAAATTCCTGAATTGAAAGTGGTAGAAAACGAGCGACAGCATTGCAACAATAAACAACACTAATCATATCCTGCTGTAAAACACCTATTAATAGTCTTTGGGTTACTGACATTAGAACCTCATTTTTGGCACACAATGCCACGTGAAATAAACAGACTGATTAGAGCAATGGCATTCAGATGACGTTTCAAGAGACTGCGTCTATAAATGATCTCCCCAGCCACGCTCCAAACACGCACTTCAGAAAAAAATACACTTTTTAAAGATGACAGATATAATAACTTGTAGAGCAAGACTTAATAAATGCCTTTTGCAAAGAAGCACAATTAAGATGTATCACCATATAATGCGAGTGTTTTACTTCTTTCATTTCTACTATTTATAGCACTTTTAACTTCGTCATCGGACAATCACTGGTGGAGCAGTTTGAGGTCTAGCTGCTGTTGAGCCTGCACTATCACACTGTAGATCTGTGTCAGGAAACTAAGGAAGACGGCAATTGTTCTGCGAGATAAAAAGTGATGACATCACACGAGGTGCTTTCTGGACAACAGTCAGAAATAGAGATCATACAGCTGAGAAAACCTGCTTTAATTGTGAGTCAAAGCCTGGTCACTCTCCTGCTGATCCCTTTATCAGCGTTTTTTCCCCAGCTCATTCACACAAGAGTTTAGTCTTGCCTTTGGTTTTGAAAAACAAAACGTGATGCTTTTTTCTTATGCAGGATGTGCACTGTGACAGAAATGGATAGCAGGAAAGCTGCACTGGAAGTGGGCTGAACGTGAGCCGCGCTTCACGGCCTTTTATCTTCTTTAAGTAGAAACACTTGTGAAGAAAAGTTGATACCAGTAAAAAGCCTTTGAATGCGTGATATGTATGTTGGATACGTATACAGAGCGCCAGTGACATGCTCCAGCGGATATTGTGGCCCTATCATGTTGACAAACTGGAGTGTACTGACTCACAAGGGGAAAGAAAACCCAATTGTCTTTCCCTCACAATGGCGCATGTGGCACAGACAGAAGGGAAAGAGTGTACGGCGCAGATATTTACATGCAGTCAGCCAGGCTTCCTGTCTTTGTCAAGCTTAAAGCACTTGTGTAAGATCCTCTCTTTCCTGTGTCCAGCAGGAAAAAGCCATGTGATTACAGTAGAACTGAAACAGGACAAAAAGGAAGCGTTTATAATAGGCCCTCAAATTTCGACCCTAGGTTTTGTGTATTGTGTTCATTTACTATGGAGATTATGACGCTCACCGCTGCCCTGACAAACACACTCGGCATTGAATTCAGTTTAAAGTTCAGTTTCAAATTCACATCTGATTCCGCATGTAAACGCGACTGACCCAGCTAAACGCTGCGCTCCGTCTGGAGCTGGAGTCTTTGTAGTTGCAGTGGAAGAGTGGCAGAAATAACTGGGTCTTAATGAGAGGAACTGGGCGTGTGTGTTTGTGGCGTCTGCTCGGTCTCTGTGGGGCTTCAGGCTGAGAAAACCCTCCAGCGCTCCTGGAGAATGCTGTGGATTAACAATCGGACAAATCATTATATTGGAAAACCACTGCTGACGCTAAAGGATTCGCAGAGAATGATTTCTGTTCTTCTATGAGACAAACATTCTACTTTGGTAAGTCCCCCAAATACATTTTCTTATCAAAGAATAGGAATTTCCTGATGTGTGGGTTCATAACATTGTGTCTTGTTTTTGATTAAGTGCATTCAGATTATGTAGAAGTATGAACATTTGGTCACACTTTAGTTTGGGGACCAATTCTCACTATTAACTAACTATTAACTACAACGTTTGACTCAATGAACTCTAAGTAATTGCTGCACATTACTAGTTACTGCGGTAGTTGTTAAGTTTAGGTATTGGGTAGGATTAGGGATATAGAATATGTTCATGCAGAATATGTGCTTTATAAGCACTAATAAACAGCCAATATGTTAATAATATGCATGCTAATAAGCAACTAGTTAACAGCAAGAATTGGTACTTAAAATAAAGTGTTACCGAACATTCTAATAGGATTAAGGTTTGAAATCACACTTTTTATGTTGGCTGTAATTTATTGTATATTCATATATAGTTTGGAGTCAGTAATATA